TCTGCGATGTCTGACAAGACAGGCGAGGAAGACAGAGTGCTCACTAGTTCTCTAATAACGTGTGACTGCTAGCATATTTTTGACATTAACCACTTGTATTTCCTGTGACTGGCTTTTTCATAGCTTTTGCCCATTGTAGGGGATTGAAAAGTGACTCCCTAAAGTTCGCGCCAGCCAGAACCTCAAAATGTGATCTTATTTGGAAATAGGGTCTTTGCAGATGTGATCAGTTAAGAGGCCACACTGCCTTCAGGTGGGCCCTAAAGACCAGTGTCCTATAAGAGGAGAGGTCATTTACGTGAACATGGAAGCAGAGATCAGAACAAGGCAGCTGCACGTCAGGGGGCCCCAAGGACTGCCGCCCCCAGGAGCTAGGAAGGGGCAGGGGAGGAGCCTTCTCCAGGGCCTCCAGGGGGTGCGGCCACAGGACACCCTGGTTTCAGACTTCTGCGTCCAGAACTGGGAGGGAAGATTCCTGCTGCTTTAAGCCAACAACTCAGTGGTACTTTGTTGTAACAGCCAAAGCAAAGTAACACACCCAGTAAGAAAACCGTTAGTCTGCGGATAGGTGAGAACTCTCTGCACGTTAATGAAAGCAGCCCTGTCTGATGCACACGCAGAACACGTGTCACAGTACACGAGGGACAAGGCACAGCCACGCGGTGAACAGGACTCCCACCCGGACGAGAACGTACCTAGTAACTTCCACCTCCTGTCTCGTCCCCACTTTCCCCACTAAAACCACAAACCTGAAATTTGTGTTTCTACCTCCTTTGCTTAAAAAGTTTCATAGCACGTTTACATGTAATGGACAAAATACTGCTTCAACTTGACTGCTACTGAGCTTCATTAAAGTGGAATTCTACCCTGAGACTCTGCTGCAACCTGGCTCAAGGAGACACATCTCAGGCTGGCCCACGTGCTGCCTACAGGGGCAGGGCCCCACCGTCCCTGCGGTGGAGCAGCACCTCGGATGGTCTTCCCTGCTGTGTACACAGCCCACTGGGCACGTGGTTCTCGAGCTGACGTCCGGTTGGGTCATTCCCCGGTGTCTGCTGCTCTGGCGATGTCTGACCACACCCCTGAGTGCCCACGTGAGTTCCCTTAAACACCCGGAGAGGGACTGCTAATTGAGTACGTGAATTTCCAACCTAACAAAACTGCCAAACGTTTTCCAAAGTGGCTGGACCTACACCTACGCCCACTACAGTTACAGTGGGCCCTTGGACAACATGGCTTTGAACTGCGTGAGCCCACTTGCACGTGGACCTTTCTCACTAGGCGTCCACGCACTGCATGAGCCCGTGGACTGGACCTCAGCTACGGAGGCCAACCGCGAGGTCACACTGGTGTTTTACCCGGTGTGGGGCCGGCGCCCCCAGCCCTGCACTGGCCAAGGGCCAGTTGCATACATGTTCCCATAAAAGGAGTCTTCACAATTCTGACTTTTCACAAATTAACAGACCTGTTGAAGGAGAATGTATTCGATAATTTCTGGACTAAATATAAGAGATTTTTTTCTGACACCTTAAAGTATGCTGACCCATAGATTAACAAAAACAAACATGGAAACAGCTGGCATGCCAATACCATGGCTTCCAGATAGGGAAGAAGCGCTTATATGAACTGCGTGTCCCAGTCTCAGCGTCCTCAGTCCGTGTTTCATTGGCACTTGATACGCTGGTCACCCACAGATCACAAGACGTGGAGGAAAGTCGGGATGACCAGGGGCTTCAGGCCCACGTTAAACAACTGCTCTTTCTGAAAATAAACTTAAAGCCTGAGAGGAGGAGATGAAGTGTGCTTGAGTGAAAAGAGAGTGACCTGAGAATCAGATCTCGCACATAGATAGGACCGGCCGGGCCCAGCGTGAGTGAGTGTGCGACTTGCCCGCTAGGGTTGGGGTGCACGAGCAGTGACCTCAAACAGACATGCCTCTTGTAACTGTCACAGGCTGAAAGTAACAGATGCCCTAACATCGTTAAACAGTTCAGAAAGTTTCCATCATAAAAGTGTAGTAAGATTTACAAGGAGTATTTATTCGCACAACTCAGGTCCCAAACTTTGTAATTATCACTCCGTGCCTCCACACCTGCTGTGTCTCTGGCTCCTGTGTGCAGTCAACAAATTTAAGGCACAGATCAGACCAAAGCCTCCCTTGACCCTGCCAGGCTGTTAACAGGCCCTTCCTCCCTGGGGCTTTATCCGTGTTACATGGCGCGTCCAAATGGTACATCGGAGCCCCCCACCTGGGAGTGAAGCGAAGGGGAGAGACTGCAGCTTATTCTCTTATGTGTCCTGAGCACCAGCTCGGGGTCTGGTGCCCCACAGGCACTCAGCACGTTTCGTGACCCACGTGCGACACTGTTACTCTACAACCAGCCTCTCTATAGCCTCGTCTGGAGTTCAGAGTCAGCTACTTGTGTGCTGTTTAATTGACATGTTCTCCCATTTTTTCTCAAATGAAAATTAATTCCTGGATTCCATGCTGTAAATAAAGGTAATTGATTTTTGCAAGAACCACAGTGTAACTTTGATAGCAACACAGTAACACGTGTAAGGAAGGGCATATTACTCATTAGGTACGTGTCTCATTCACTTGAGTTTAATTACTGAACAAATTATTCAATTATGAGAAATACTACTGCTATTTTCCAAAGTGGAGGGCATAGTTCTTGAAAGTTACTGGTAAGTGGAAACATCTACAAAATCCTACAGGGACTAGGTTTCACAATGGGAGACAGTCCAAGGCAGCGGAAAGTTTTACGGAGCAAGGTAAGATGGAGACGACCAGGTAGGGGACGTCTCATTTCATACGGAAAAACAGAAAACTTCTCCAAAATTCTGGTCAGTGAGTACTCCCGAATATCTGACAGGGATTCAGCTGTGGCCCTCATGGCTTGGCTGCACTTCCACAGCAACCCCCACTAGCCCCCTCAGTCCTCATCCTGCCACGTCCAGCAGCCAGTCCCTATCCTGCTCAGCCTCTCAGCACCTTCTGCCCTGGCCGCACCACGCCCTCCGCTCCGCCTCCCTCTGGCATGTCAGTCTCCCGACCCTTTCCTCCTGGCCACCCTTCACTGGATGACTTCCCCTCCTCGGCAGACTGCAAGCATCCGTGTGCCCCAGGCCTCTGTCCTCTGACTCTGGCCCTCCGCTCGCTCCAGTCCCACGGCTGTGAGGGCCACCTACAAATACAGAGCTGCAGCCTGGACCACTCCCTATTCTCCTCTGAGCCCCACCTCGGTAGGACACTCCTGAGGGTCCAGCTGCTCCTACAAAGGCTGGGTGTCCCCCTGAACTCAGACTCCATATTCAAGCCACCAGCTAATCCCACTGGCTCTGCCTCTGCACCCCAGTACCACTGCTCCTCCCTTTCCTTTCCCAGGCCAACACTGTCCCTCGGCTCCCTGCTTCCCCCCACCCCCACGTCTGCCGGTCACACCTGCCCCCACTCAAGGCTGCCCGGTGCCCCCACCCCCTGGTCTGCCCCATAACCTTCGTTCTGTGCACGGGAGTCCTGCTGGCCTCTCACGGTTCCTGAAACCCACTGCTGAGCCAGTTCGATCTCGGAGCCTGAGCACCCCTTCCTGAGTCATCCCGAATGCTCAAAGGCCCCCCATCGCCCCTCTTCCCCTGAGGCCAGTTTACTTCTCCTCACAGTGCTTATCACAGCCCAACACGGGACAGCTGTCTATTCATCACCTCTTCCCACCAGGAGGTGAAGGCCACCACTGGACCCCCAGCCCCGAGAACAGTGCCCAGAGCTCAGTACACACTCCGTAAATATTTGTTCAACAAACAAATGTCTGAGGGTTACTACACCACTATTTTTAAAGTTTGTCCTCTACTCCAACATCTCTTTAATTTACATATAAGTCATCTGATTCCAATGTGTACATAATGTAAAATTGTGCCAAGATAATGGAGGCATGAAAAAATTTTAGATTCTCATCTCTCTCCAAGAGAGACAGCTGCACTCCAATACTGCAGGATAAATTACCCCGCTGAAGGGATGGTTATGTTGCAGAGTCGTGAAACAATTAAGCAATCCAACAAGATTTTGAGGCTATTCCCTGGGACAAGTGAAAGATTCTACCTTTTTTGAATAATCAGTCTTCACTTTTTTTAGGCACCCAAATGACAGTCAATCAAGGCGATGGAAAATGTTAATTGCATAAATCAAAATGGGCAAAACAAATAGAGCTTAACTCTGAAATAAAGTCAGATGAAAACTGCTATTTACTCCTATCTTGTCTCTTTATTCCTGTGAAAATAGTCATTTAAAAAGCTATTCTGTGGACCAGAGACACCTGGATGGAGCGGGAGGCGGGTGAAACAAGAGAACACGGCACCTGCAAAGTGATCATTGGGACCTGACTTTTGCAGTGGCTGCACGTGGCCTCACGGTATTTACAGGCCTTTTCCACGTGATCACGCAGGTCTTTTCTCAATACTTTCTCTCTGCAGTCGGCACGAACACATGAAAGTTCCTCAAACTGGCAATCATTCTTTAAATGCACCTGTAAGACAGACAAGTCAGTTCTCGATCGGCAAAAGTCCCATTTGAAACACCAAATTCTAACCTCTATGCAATTAAATACTACAAAAATGTTTCTCTCTGCTCTTAGACCAGTTTTTTCACAGAGAAGAGTGACAAGTGTGTCAAGAGACACTGAATTTCGTGTTCCCTTTAGTGATTTATCAAACTATATTGCTTTTGAAGAATTAAGTCAATTAACTCTTCTTCCTGGATAAACAAATGGTTATCTACTAAGGACTTTGTTTTATCCCAATTCAAACATCTTTCTAGGATAAAATATGATACTAATCAAAAAAACGTAAGAAGTTATGTGGAATTTCATGGTTATAAAAAGGAGAAGGCTTTAATGGGCTTCCCAAAATTAAAATTCAACTCAGATTTCCTTCTACTCTAAATGGCGCAGGGTGTTCAAAAACCAACTGACAAGTCTGCCTACGATATCATAAAAATAACATTTCATCCCCAACTGGCTCTGATCACTCTCCTATTTGGGTGTGTTCTCAAAGACTCACGTGAACATGGTTTTAAGGGGCCACATCATACTGACCAGGGCACTTGTGTTTCTGAACGTAGGTGCCGACACGGACACTTCTGTACTTACCAGGAGCTGTCCCAGCGTTAGCTGCTCTGCACAACCTCTGCCTTCGTTCCTGCAGTATATCTGAAGAGCCAGAATCTCTCTCTTGCAGCAATTATCCTTAAACACCTAAAATTGAAAGGCAGCAATTTTAGAGGGTTAGTATTTCTTAATCTCCACATGCTGCTACTTGGGACAAGGTAAAATCACTCTAAAAAAATAAGAGCATCCCTTACGTGGGCCTCAGAAAGCGTTAAGAACCATCTTAATTTCTGTAAGTAGAATGAAGGAGCTGCCCCCACTAAGAGACATAATTTAAATAATGTAATCTTAACTACCATCTTTTATTACATAAGCCAAAAATAAACAAGTTATACTAGAAACCTGAAGGTCACTTTGGAGCATCCAGACATTTTGGATTAACTATGACATAGTATCGAGACCCAGTTCACACTTGGACCTGGGGGTTCCAGGCGTCAGTACTGAGAAGGCGGCTGTGGATGGAGCACCTCCCACCGAGACAAGGGCAGAGCCCACTACAGCTCAGTGCCTGCTCCTAAGGGTATGTCATTTATAACTCATTTTTCCACCAAAAATAAGGCATAGCCTGCTATTTAAAACCTTCAAAAAATGCATTCTGCAAAGACTGGGGTTAAATCCAAAAATGAAAATGTGTCCTTTAGAAAGTGAAAACCTTCCTTTAATTTTATTTCTCCCCTGGAAAACAAATGCTCTCACGCCCTCTAACAGCACAAGCTGCACCACTGGTGCCCTCGGGCGCGTCTCAGAAAGCCCCGTGTGTCCACACTCCGCAGCAGCGGGAAGGCAGGGAGGGAGCTTAACAGGCCTTTCTTCCCTCCACAGGCGAAGAAATAGCATCAACAGCTGTTAAGCGTTTAAAATAAACTAATCTGGAATCTAATCTAATCCTTTGAAACATGACTTTTTCTTAAAAAGGTCATAACTTACGATATTAAAGTCAACAGAACAGGTATTTTTAGCTGGTAAGAAATTAGCTTGCATTCTGTGCCATTAAGTCTCTTTAAGTCTTTTGAGTTTACCTTTAGGAATAAAAGACGTAGACTGAAAACATCAGAATAATAAAAGTACAGAATTCTAGAGCTGGAGAAGGTCTCAGATCATTTACTGCAACCGTCCCGTTGTATAGATGGGAACCTGAGGCCTCATGGGGCCCCATCCTCAGTGATGGTCGAGGGGCAGACCTCGGCCTCCCGGGGCCCCAGCCCATCTTCCCACAAGGACCCAGGGCTTCAGTCAGTCTCATCTGTGATTCTTCAACACATCTAGTCATTTTTATTCAGCTGTCAATGCCAGTGGAAAACAGGGATAATAATTCTAAATAATGACATGGAGGCACTAAAAAATTCATCTCCATTGTTTCAACCTCTGTCTCAGTCACACTGGTTAGACACAAGGTAACAAGTTAACAAGCTGCCACGTTGGGGGTAGAACTGTGAGTTTTCTGAAAAACAGTCCCCTCCCTATTACCAAGTGACACTTCCGCAGCAGAGGAAGAACAGGTACACGGACACTGGCCAGCTCGGTGTCTGAACCGTCCAGCGCAGGGGACAGCAAATGCCTGTCCTGGCAGCCCAGGGCCACCCGTCACCAGCCACCCTGGGATCACTGCCCTCACAGCACAGCGGCCCACCGAGACCTTCAGACAGGAAGCCCCAGAGCAAGAATTTTATTGCACAATTAATGACCTACATTTAAAAAACTGTTAGGTTCATTAATCAAAATATTGGAACCACACGTTTTTATTGGTATTTTAAGTACTACAAGAATGAGTCATTTCAAACTAGAAGTGTGCCTGGCAGGGGCTGGTGGTGGGGATGTGGTGAGAAGGGGCCCGGACCCCTGTGCGCTGAGGCTGCAGGACACTCATGAGCTCCCAGGACACCTACAGCCACCTGGGGGAGGGAAGGACTGAAATCCCACGTGCCTAACGGCTTCAAGATGCTGCATGAGCACAGGGGGAGGTAAACCCAACGCAGCCCTCGGACTGGCACTGGCAGAAGGCAGACTCAAGTGTCACAGCCGAGCGCAGCCTGTCTGGGGTGAGGACCCGAGACGGCAGCGTGCATCTCTGCACTCCACTCACTCCTCACGTGCCTGGGAGTCTGGGAGGAGGCACCACTGCTAGCACAGGGGAGGAAACAGGCTCAGGGGACCTGCCTAGCAGACCTGCCCCATCTGTCCAGGTGCTTACACGACATGCTCCCCGGCCTCAACCCTGCTGCATCAGGGGTCAAACTCGGAGAAACTCGGAGCCAGAACAGTGGATGCAAACTACATGGAAAGCACTACCAGCTCAAAACAGCAACAAAACAATGAAAAACCAGTACCTTATCTTTAATGATGCCTTCTTGACACGCAGTGCATTTCGGGCTGGAGGAGCTGGGGGGAAACACATGGTGAACGTGTTAGAGGGAAAGCCCCGTCTCATCTGAACCCACAGGTACCACTCACCTTACGGTCACATCTGCTGTGTGAATCCGAGCAGCAACGAGAGCTCCAGGATACCGTGGTGATCTTGATTTAAATACGGCTTAAATGGGAGCAAAGGGCTAAACTTTTTAACAGTAATTCTTCATAAGGGAGTTTTTAAGCAGAACAGCTTAGAGCAGTCCTACTTGGAAAGCCCCTTGCAATTAAAAGTGAAATTTTATTTCAGAAACCAAAACCAGCTCTCGTGGGGGGGCTCTCGAGCGTGAGCGCCCACAGCTCGGCAGGAGGGCCTCCGGTGGCCCTGCTTTATGGACAGCGGGCACTTCCTCCACAGGCTGTCTTCCCTGCAGCACCGTGCGCGGCCGAGGCGATTCCGCGGACCTCAGCAGTGTGCAGACTTACAGCTGTCTCGAAACCACCGGTTTCCTACAGCATTCTTGTCCCCAGACGCGGGGTGCACACCACTGCGCCCGAGCTGCCCTTTTCTGGACTTAACTTTCACCCTGTCCTGTGCCTGGAAACCACCTTCCAAAGACTGAAAATAAAAGCAAGTCCCTGCTTCCAGGGCCCCTGCCCTAGATAGCCCGAAGGCGCCAATGAGTGGTGCAGCGGCCTCAGGGAGCAGGGGCAGGCGTGCACGGGGCCCGGGGAGGGGCCAGAGAGCTGAGGGTCGCTGGGGGTGGGGTGGGGTGGCTAATGCTTTTTAAAATAAAGGCTCATTTCTCTCAGACTACACTAACACGGAGCTTGTGCTAAACTGTATTAAACACATGAATCTTTTAACCTCCTTCGACCCTGGGACTGAGCAGCACCCGTGGGGCCCCTGTCACCTGTAAAATGTGGAGCAGGAGGAGTGCCAGGAGCAAAGGAGGAGGAAATCAGAAGAGAAGCAGCCCCCAGGGCCCCTCCCCAGGGCTCGCAGGTGCAGTTCGGGAAGCCAGGTGCTCTGAGTCCACTTTGCCATCACTAAGCTCCCTTCAAGTTTCTTTCTTCCACGAGCAGGCAAAGCTGAGCTCACAGTTCGGGATAAGTGGACAAGAGCATAGCCGGAAGCACCCAGAGGAGGGTGACGGGGCAGGCAGCTGGCGGCTGTGCTCAGCGGAGTCAGGAAGAGGGGTGGGTGGCCCTGAAGGCGGGATGGGACCGAGGCTGAGTGTCTGGCTGCAACCCAGTGCCCAGCACGCCACCCAGAACACACCTGCCAGCTGGATGGAGACGCTTTCTTGGCCAATGTTATTTCCTCTGTGAAACTCCAGCCTGCCTGCCTGACGCCGCCTGTGGCTCTAACACGGCATCATTCCCCCGGCCGGCAAGGGCCTGCGAGGGCTCGCGGAGGGGTACCCTGCACTTGCCGGGAAACGCAGACTGGATTCTGCTCAGCCCAAGACGTGTCCAGTCCTGCCTGCGGGCCCTGTCCCCTCATCCCTGTGCACTGAGCATTCGCCCCGAAGGGCCTCTGCGTCATTTACTGACGGGATGTCTCCTCCAGGGGCTGGGAGCTCCTCGTCAGCCGCACGCGCGGGGGACACACCAGGCACCAGCAGCCTCTGGAAGGCGGCGGGTGGGCGGGCGGGGACCTCACAGGAGGTGCGGGGTCCCGGGCACAGGGAGTCCCAGAGGGAGTGCGGGCGGCGGGGGGCACCCACCTCAGCAGGGCGGCCATGCAGGTCTCGCAGAAGCGGTGCCCGCACTCGGTCTGCCGGGGGTTGCACAGCACCAGGCGGCACTTCTCACACTTGTACTTGTCCTCCACGGCCTTCACAAACCTCTCCTTGTAGCCGCCCTGCTCGGGGACGAGCACCGCTGACCCCGCGCCGCGGTCGGGCTGCAGCTTCAGGGGGGGGTTTGTCTGCAGGGCGCCGGCCGCGTCCATCTTTTTAGTCGGCTCCATTTCAGGGGAGAGAAAACCTGTCAGGAAACACAGCCGAAGAGTGAAGGGCTGCACGTCCTCCTGCACAAGCGAACAAACAGCTCTGGAAAGCAAACGTGCTGGACACGTGTTCCCTGTGGTCTGAAGTGACACCGGAACCCCGGCTTCTGCGTGCGACCCAACAAAACACCATCCAGCTCGCGTCCTCCCTTCCTCCATCATCCAAACACACGGGTAATGCCACTGTTCAAAGGACCTTCCTGAGGTGCACACTGTATTTTTAAGCCTCTTTAACTTACAACTATACTTCGCCGTAACTTCAAATTCTATGCTTCACTCTGACGCTGTGGTCGAAGCCGCGGCATCCTGAGCAACGTCGCCTCCTGGTGCGCCCTGCTGCCAGGTGGCAGTCTCGACGACACAGCCCAGGGCTGGCCCGTCACGTGAGACAGCCTCGCAGTCAAGCCCGCAGCCGGGACGCGCCTCCCATGCCAGCGACAGCACTTCCTGTCTGACAGTGTCTGCAGGCCCCCGGCCCCTCTGGGACCCCCACTCCACTAACTCTGTGCACCAGGTCTGCACCGAGCACCAGGCTTCAGGGGCGGCCGACGTGGATGTGGGGAACTCATGTGCTGGGGACAGAGCTGGTGAAGGGGACACAGGGACTGGATGGGTCTCCCGTGCCCGCTGAGCAGGCTCTCCTAGCGCACGTGGTGCAAGTGCACAGATGGCTACCTCCATCTGCAAGGTGCCATCCACAGGCCAAGTGTGCAGAGCCTGGAAATGAGCCACAGAGAGTCTGGCCTGCGCAGCTCTGCCAGCTGAGGTGCGCGGCCTTGCATCTGGTGAAGCTATGGAGGAAGTTCCCTTCAAAACTCACCGGGTCTCTTCAAAACTACACCATTTTCTTGCTCAATCCACCTACTTCTGCTACTTACAAAAATAAAGGCCAAATTCTTTCCACTCACGAGGTCCTGGGCGCCCACCCCTGCCCCCACCCTTGTGTCCGCACCATGAGGCTTGCCCCAAGTGTGGTTGTGAACCTCGGGTCTGCTGGGACCGGGGCGGACCCTCACTCAGACCCAAGGTGCTCAGTGGGCTGGGTGCAGGGTCCTCTCTTTCCAAGCCTCAGTCCTCACTCTGCCTCTTCCTCCTTCTTCTGACACTGAAGCAGTGTTTCAGGGCCAGGGATGTGTGGGAACTGACGCACACCTGACAGGTGCTCGAGCCCTACCTGGGTTCGTTTTCACAAATTAGCAGATCACTGTGCAAAGTGTGGAAGCCTCCTGTGACATCAATTTGTGAAACCAAAATGAAAAAGTTTTCAGAATGATCCCAAAAGGCCAGCAACCCTTTGCTCATCAACTTGCTGGTTAGAACCCTGTTGCTAAGATGCTCAGCAGGGAGGTACTAGGCAGGGGAAAGGGTCAACCAGGAGTGGCCCTGCTGCCACTGGCTACGCCCCCTCTGGCCTTGACTCTGGGCAGGCTCACCCCATCCCCACTGCTCCCCCTCTGGGAACGCACCCCCACCCTCCCAAGGAGGGACAGCCAGCTTAGCCTCACTTACCTGCCCCACTGCCCGCGCCCGCGCCCCAACCCCTGCCGCCTTCTCATCTGCAGGCCTACAATTGCCTCATCACCTCTCTCCCTGTGGCAGGACTGGAAGCTCCCCAACTACATGGATTCTGATCTGCTGTGCTGCCTGACGAATTGCAGGTACCTGCAATCACCAGCACCAGTGCCTAATGGATAGAAGGCTCCCAATACACATCTGCAAACAGAGGGACAGGTGAGGTCCCAGCCACTCATACCAAACCGTGTTTCCATAAAGCCAGAAAAAAGAAAAACAAAAAGCCAGGAAAAGAAAACTCCTTACCTTTCATATCTGGTCTCAGAGCTTCAGGCCTTGAAAACCCCTGCTTAGATTATAAGCTACTTACAACTTCGGTTTAGTATTTCATCCTGCAGTGCTTAGGAAGCCATGTGCTCAGTAAAGAGTTTTCAATGAGAAATGTTTGATTCTTTGGAGGTGAATTCCTATTTCAAATATGAGAGACAACTGACTTAGGATCAGGCTAATGATAAATAATAAATGTTCATTTACCTATGACATGTCATACTTTGTATAGACAAGTGAAGAATATAGTTTTAGATCCCTGGTTTTTAGGGAGGGAGGGTATAGCACAGTGGTAGAGCACATGCTTAGCGTGCATGAGGTCATGGGTTCAATTCTCAGTACCTCCACTAAATAAAATAAATAAATAAACCTAATTATCTCCCCAACTCTGAGAAATAAAATAAAATTATAGATCCCTGGTTTTTACAGGCTGTGTAAGAATGAGCAAACAGATGCAAAGCATCCCACACACAGAGGAAATTTCCCAGCAGCCCTGTCCTGCAGGACAGAGGACAGCCAGGTTTGCCAGGATTGGCCTGGAGTGTGGGGTGCTGGCGGGGGCATCTTGGCAGAGGGCCCCTGGGGGCCTCTCACAACCCACCCACTGTCCTGCATCCTGTCCCATGCCTGGCTCACTACCGAGCTAAGCTGCTGGCCGGAGAATGAGCCTTCGGGGAAGGAGGGAGGAGGCCCTACAGCGCTTAGACAAGCAAGACCTCCTTCATCTAATGCTCACAGGTGAGGAAGAGGAAGCGTAAGAAAACCACCTAAACGTGAAATGCCAGGATAGGCAAATCCACAGAGACACAAAGCCGATCCATGGTTTCCAGGGACCAGGGGAGTCGCTGCAGCCACTGATGGGAACAAGGCTTCTTGGGGCGACCGAAGTGCTGGGAACTGGATAGTGGGGATGACCGCACAACTCCATGAACATATGGAAAACCACTGAACTGTATTTACAGGGGTGACTTCTACGGTATGTGAATATCAATTTAAAATCTAAACAAATATCACAAAGTAACTGTTTAAAATGGTTCCATTTGGGTCTGGTTAATTTGTAACATTTAGATATAGTGTCACACACTTTGAAATGGAAGACTAGAACTGAAAGGGGATATGCCTGACTCGCGAGGGGCCAGTGACGGTCCACTGTCATAACTGTACATGCTCGCAGGGAAACACAGCAGCAACTCAGACCCGGGAGTAAGGTGTGAAGCGTAAGCGCCAGATTCCCCACCTGCAGCTGCCCACGGGCAGACGCTGCCTCCTGGCGTCCAGCAAGTGCACAGCAGAAAGCGTGCCTTCTCTCTGCCACACAAACCACGCCACACGTGCAGACTAACCCTCAGCTCCCGTGACAACAGTGTGTCCCGGGCGTTTTTCCAAACCAGGCGTAAAGATGCACTCAGTTACTGGGGAGGGCTGTACGGCACTCCGCTGCATGGTGTACCAGGACTTGGACAACCAGCTCTGCTTACAGTCTGCAGCGAACACTCCTGAACATACCTTTGCACACCAAGGCAAGCACACAGCAACACGACTACTGGCTCAAAGATGATGTGCATTTTAAAATGTATAATCACTGCCACGCATCTTTCTAAAAAGGTTGTACATTGTTCATTTCCTCCAATGCTTTAGTAAACTATTAAACATTATTTTAGAGGACAACAGCCAGTTTCATTCAATCCCCGATGTCCCCGACTTTACTTGGGCCTCAGCCATGTTTTCTGGAGAGTGCTGTTGGCCAAGCTGCTGAGCAAACAACACAGTTCTCCTGTGGAGCTGTCGGCAGGCAGAGCCACGGGATGCTGAGGGCACACCCACCGCCCTCCTCCCTAGGGGGTGGACCCTGCTTCAGGCGAGCGACTCTGCAGAGGTGCCAGACCGGCCACGGTTTATTTCAGCAGGTCCACTGGGCACGTACATCCACAGCTCTGTGCCTGGCATGTCAGGGGACACAGGGACAAAGGAGATTGTCCCTACCCTTAGAGAGTTCTGCGGGAGTTGTGAGGAAAGAGAACATTCCAGAGTCAACAAGTGTAACCAGCAGCAGACGTGAGGGGTGACAAGGGCTGCAGGTCTTCAAAAGAGGAAGATAGCACCTCTGTTCTGGGAAGGCGGGGGGTTTCCTGGGTTGGGCTTGTGGCCCAATTCCCATTCCAGCAGAGGACGAGGGGCAGGAGGGTGGGCAGGCGTAGCACCCTTAGGTGACTGGGGAGGCGAACCTGGTGCTGTGGGCTCCGGGGGAGGTGCTGGCGGGCAGGTCGTCTGGCCCTGAGTGGTCTGGGTGAGGAGGTCAGCCTGGTGTCTCTTCCCAGAGGCCGACGCTGGGCACAGCTTTTATCCTCTGGACATCATTTCTTCTTTTCACGTGAAAAGCAGGTAACACCCCTGGTCTCCAGCACCATCAGGCATCACTGAGGCACTACAGATAGGTCCCTCTGCCAGCTCTACAGCGCTCAACGCACAGAAGACACACCCTCTGCCCGCGGGGTCAGAAGCCTGGCAGACCGGGCTGTTTCCTCATCGCAGACGGCGCAAAGCCCTTTCAGAAAGCACCTTCCCAGCAATTAGGTAAGAAAAAAGAAACAAACGGCATCCAGTTGGAAAGGAAGAGGTAAAACTATTTCTATTTTCAGATGACATAACCTTGCACATAGGACTCACTACGGAATCAGCTAAAACCGAGGCGACCTAACTAATAAACCTGCCCAGCAAGGCTGCAGGACACAAGGTTGATGTGTAAAACCAGCCGCACTTCTACACACTGGCAACGAATAATCCAAAAGTAAAATTAAGAAAACAACCCATTTATAAGAGCATCAAAAAGAATAAAACATTTAGGAATAAACGTAACCAAAGAAGGGCAAGACGTATGTTCTGAAAATTATAAAACATGTTGAAAGACATTAAAGATACAAGTAAGTGGAAGCTACCCCACATTTAAGGACCAGGAGGCCTGACACTGCTAAGACGGCAGTATCACTCAAACTGACCTAAGATTCATCTCAACCCCCATCAAAAGCCTAGCTGGTTTTTTTTTCTTGCAGAAATTAATAAGCTGAACCTAAAATTCATATGGAAATATGGGGAACCCAGAATAGAAAAACAATCCTGAAAAAGAAGAACGAAGTCAGAG